GCCTTCAGTATGTGTTCACCTAGAAAAAATTTAATCTTCACCAAATGAGATGGCTTGAATTCCTCAAGGATTATGATATGAATGTGCATTACCATCATGGTAAGGAAAATGTAGTAGCAGATGCTCCTAGTAGACTATCTATGGGTAATGTAGCACCTGTTGAGGAAGAAAGAAAGGAACTAACAAAGGATGTTCACAGACTTGCTCGCTTAAGTTTCTTTATGAGCATATTAGATAGTGGTGTAACAGTCCAGAATGGGTCGAATCTTCATTGGTAGCAGAGGTTAAGGAAAAGCAAGACAATGATCCAATATTAATTCAACTAAAGGGTGCATTCCATCAGTCGATAGTTGAGGTTTTCTCCCAATGGGGAGATGGTGTGCTTCGCTACCAGGGTTGATTATGTGTTCCTAATGTGGGAGAGTTGAGACAACAGATTCTTGCAGAAGCCCATAATTCCAGGTATTCTATTCATCCAGGCTCCACTAAGATGTACCGTGATCTGCGGGAAGTCCTTTGATGGAATTGTATAAAGAGGGATATAGCAGATTTTGTGGCTAAGTGCCCCAATTGTCAGCAAGTGAAGGTAGAACATCAGAAACCAGGAGGTATGACTTAAGAGATAAACATTCATACTTGGAAGTGGAAGTGATCAACATGGACTTCATTACAGGTTTACCTCGTACTCGTAGACAACATGACTCATTTGGTGATTATTGACAGGGTAACTAAGTCTTCTACTTTTTGGCTATCAAGACTACAGATTCAGCGGAGGACTATGCCAAGCTTTACATTAATGAGATAGTCAGGTTGCATGGGGTTCATTTGTCTATCATCTCGAATAGAAGTCTTCAGTTTACCTCTCATTTTGGAAGTCATTTCAGAAAGGTCTTGGTACTCAGTTTAATGTTAGCACAACATTTCATCCGCAGATAGATGGTCAGGCAGAGCGTACCATTCAGACCTTAGTGGACATGTTGAGAGCTTGTGTGATCACTTTCAAGGTAGTTGGGATGATCACCTTCCTTATATAGAGTTCGCCTACAACAATAGTTACCATTCTAGCATTCATATGGCCCTTTTGAGGCATTGTATGGGCGTAGATGTAGATTTCCAGTTGGTTGGTTTGAAGTGGTGAAGCAACCTTGATAGGACCAGATTCAATTCATGATGCTATGGAAAGTGTAAATCATTAGAGATAGACTTAAGACTGCTAGAGTGCCAGAAGTCTTATGCAGATGTAAGGAGAAAGGAACTAAGTTCTAAGTTGATGATTGGGTTTTCTTGAAAATGTCGCCTATGAAAGGGGTGATGAGATTTGGCAAGAAAGGGAAACTCAGTCCTAGATATGGTCCCTTACATATTCTAAAAGGATTGGCAAAGTGGCTTGTGAGTTAGAGTTGCCAGCAGACTAGCAGCAGTGCATCCAGTCTTTCACATTTCTCTTTAAAGAAGTGTGTGGGTGATCCAGCATCTAGTGCCATTAGAGAGTGTGGTTGTGAAAGATAGTATTCGTTATGAGGATGTACCAGTTGAGATTCTCGATCGTCAGGTTAGAAGGTTGAGAAACAAAGAATTCACTTCAGTCAAGGTTTTGTGGAGGAGTCAGTCCGTAGAGGGAGCTACTTGGGAAGCAGAAGCAGCCATGAAGTCCAAGTATCCTCACCTCTTTCCTTCGATTCCATTCCAGCTTGAGGTAATAGTTCCTCTTCAGTTTTTCATTCATTCATGCGCTAATTCAGTCTAGTAATGTGTTCCTTCAGTTATCCTTGCATTTTCAGTGCATTTGCATGTTCTTGGAACTAAGTTCAGTCAGAAATCAATTTCAGTACTTAGTGGTAGGGATTGTAGCTTCTCACTCCATACTCAGCTAGTTTAGTCTTCATTCGAGGACGAATGGTCCCAAAGGGGAGATAATGTAACACCCTGTATTTGAAACATACCAAAATGTAGATTTTGAGAAATTGCAGGTGCAACCCACGGTTTCCACCCACAGACCATAGGTCAGACAACGACCCGTACTGGTGGTCCACGGTTCACCACTACAACTCCTCCCCAACCCAGCTCAGAAAATGGCTAAGTCTTGACCCACGGTCCGTAGGCCAGGGTCTGTGGTCTGTGTTTGTGGATCGAGGCCCCCTTTACCCAGTGTAACATCTCGCACTTAGAAAACGACTATAAAGAGTTTAAAATATGAAAATATATATTTTTGGAAAGAATAAGGAAATCTGGAAATTTTTGTCTAAGTTAAGAAAGTGAGTTTTGGCCATTTTCAAACAGCCATAACTCCTAGCTCGGGATGAGTTAGGAGCAGATCTTGATATGGTTGGAAATCCCTTGGAGAGATCTTTCCAACACAGCCAAGTTTGCGCAATTTCGACAACGTATGAGTGAGTTATGCCTTTTGGAAGTTGGGTTGTTGGATTGAGGAAAGTCCGAATCCGGATTTAAGGAACGACAAACTAGTCTTTTCTCTAATTAATTTCCTAATTCATTTTTAGGGTTTTATTGGGGTAAAAACAGAACTTAATTCAGTTTTGGAAAATTAGAATACGTTTACGGCTTGGAGAAAAGAGAAAAGAAGAAAGAAAAGGAGAAAAACCAAGATTTCGCCAAGAACGTCAAGCATTTTGAGTGGAATTCGTCAGGGGTTGAGACCTATTAAGGTATGTGAGATCTTTTAGTGATGGGTTAGCTCACCCACACACCAACTTGTTTCAATTCAGCGATTTTGAGTTGTTTACATGTTAAAAAGTGAAGTTCTTGAAAGATATTGTTATGTTCTTGATTGGATGTGTTGTTGAAGTTTCTTGTTTATTTGATTCATGTTTTCGCGTGGATTTTCGAGTTAGATCTGTTGTAATTTGAGAGTACTAATGACCTTAAGTGTTTTGGAAAGGAACTAGGGAAGATTGGAGGGTTAGAGATGAAAAACGAAGGAGAAAATTCAGAATTTTCTGGGTAAAGAGGTGAGGCGTCGCGCCAGCAGCGCCCCCAAAGCAGTGTCTGACATTTTGGCCTTGGGGCACCGCGCCAGCCAGTGCACCCAGTAGGTTCTCTGAGGTTTGGGGAATGGCGCCCTACGCCTCTCAGAGCGCCAAGGACGCCAATTCACCCCATTTTCCCCCCATCTTTTCGTACTAGTTTCTAAGTGATGTACCTATGTTTCCTAGTTGATTCTAACACTCTAAGGTACATCTAACCATCATGAAATAATCCATAAACATGAGATCATGAACCTTGAATCCAAAATTCAATTCAAGGAAAGTTAAGATCAAAGTCAAAGAAGTTAAGAGTCAAGTCTAGAAGTTAAGAAGCAAGTCAAAGCAAAGTTTCTTAAAGTTTTCAAGAGTCTTTAACAAACGTTTTAACTTCATTTTAAGGATCAAGTTTCAAGTTAAGCAAAGAGTAAAGAGTCGAGTTCATTTCTCAAAAGCTATAAAGGAACTAAGTATTCTCAAAGAGTTTATAAATGTTTTTACATATTTGAGCAAGAAAAGGGAACATCGATTCCAAAAAGAGATTTTAAACTAAGTCTTGAATAATTATCTCAATTCAAAGAAAAAGTTTTGTTTTTTTACAAACATATGAGCTAAGTATATTTTGGGAGTAGTATTGAGCACCGATATGGGAATGCGAGTTTATATTAACTCAAGTCTCTATAAACCATGTAACCAACATCGGTAGTAAATTGATCATACTTTTTATATGACTCCTTAAGACGCTTTTAGCATAGACTAGTGGATCTACTAAGTTAAGCGTTCTATATGACGGTAAAGTATATGACAGTTTTGGCAGCGTGGGCAAGACGATGTATCACCACTTAGGCTCATAGTGGTGGTTCTCGGTTAGAGAATCTCCCACAAAAGTTATATTACTTTTATATATAAGTAAAGTTGAGTTTGTTATTGCTTATTATTGCATGTGACTTATTTGAGTTCAGTCATTCATGAGTTGTACAGAGGCAAGGTAAGTGTTCCTTCCTACTCTTTTATCCAAGTGGCACAGGTGGCTCATACATGATCGTTTCATATTTATCCAAGGAGTTTAATTACAAATGTATTTCATATTCAAAATTTCAAATACAATTTGTTGTTAGTAAGCAAAGTGACTCAGGATTGGGCTGCTCAGTCACATTATATCCACATTTATGTGTGTTTCAGGATCTTTACACTGGCAAGGTGAGGGAGATCGGTAAGGAAGATGTTGGGTTATACTTGCTACTCAATCACTTTACACAAAGCCAACTACATCATCAAGCTTGTGGATTAAAAGGAAAGGAGAAAGAAACAAGGAAATTATCGAAAGAGGAGGTTGATATGTGGCACAAGAGGCTAGGTCATATGTCATCTCATATGTTGAACTAGTTGTTTCATGTTAGTACTAAGTCTATTGATCAAGTTTTGAATAAGTGTTTTTGTGTCCTTGTGGAAAAACCAGGTAGTATCATTAAAAGTAGTCATGTGTTGATTTGAATTTCATTTAGATGTATGAGACCATATAAGAAATCAACATTTGATGGTAATAGATTTTCCTGATTGATTGATGACTTTAGTAGAATGACTTGGTTATTTCTATTGAAAAATAAGTCAGATGTATGTGTGGCTTTTGGTCATATTTTTTGCAGTTTGTTAAGACTCAATTTGATAAAACCTCTGTATGTGCAAGTATGCTAAAAGAAAAAGGTATAGTTTCATCAAGAGGTCTACAACAAAAGGGAGTGGCAGAAAGGAAATATAGACATGTCTTGGAAATAACTAGGGCCTTGACATTTCATGGTCATATTCCTTTAAGATATTGGGGTTTGTGTTTAACTTGGCAGCTGCATATTTAATAATAGAATTCCTAGTAGGGTACTAGCTAGGAGGTCAATCTCCATATGAGATTGTATGGAACGAGACCTTTGTTGACATACCTGAGAGTGTTAGGGTGTTTGTGTTTCGCTAAAATTTTATCAAAAAAATGATAAATTAAAATCAAGGTCCAAGGCCTCAGTACATATGGGGTACTCAGAAACTCAGAAAGGGTATATTATACTTCATCTAGCATCTAGTAACTTATTTGTGAGTAGAGATGTCATATTCAAAGAATCAATATTTCCTTTTACTGATAGGTTGAATAAAAAGAGTTGTTGGTCCTTTTGTGGATAACATGAGTACAAAAAACGTTTGAGCCTGGATTGGTATCCAAAGCCTGATTTGTATCTAGTGATGTCACTCTTAGACAAGGAGGTGAATCAGAAGTGGAGTGTGGACCGAAAGTTGAAGGTGTTATGCCAGAAGATTCTGAACAAGACATAGTAACAAGGTTAACTAGTAGAAGGTCATACTTATGACTCAGGTGAGTCACAGCAGAATCATGAAAGAATGGTGACCAGGAGATCAACAAGAGGGGTATAATCCACCTGTGTGGATGAAGGGCTTTGTTTCACTAAACATCAATAAGAATGTACAGTTTCTTATATCTGAGTATGTGGCCTATGGTCATTTGTCTAAGTCCTATCAAGCTTTTGTTGCTGCAACTTCTATTCTTACAGAACTACAACTTATGCAAAAACATGTAAAGAGCCTAAATGGATAGAGGCAATGCATGCTGAGATACAGGCACTAACAAACAACATAACTTGGGAACTGGTTGATTTGCCGAAAGGAAAGTCTGCAATTGGTTGCAGATGGATTTATAAAATGAAGTACAAGTCTACTGGGGAGGTAGAAAGATTTAAAACAAGGTTAGTTGCTAAGGGGTACAGTCAGAAAGAGGGGATAGATTACAAAGAAACATTTTTCCTTGTGGTGAAAATGGTGACTGTAAGAACTATTCTAGCATTAGTTATGGCAAGACAATGGCACATTCATCAAAATGGATTATGTACAATATTTTTCTATATGGTAATTTACAAGATGAAAATCTACATGAGTGTGCCATAAGGTTTAACCAGTCAGACAGAGAAGAAGGCATGTAGACTGGTAAAGTCTCTATATGGTCTTAAACAAGCACCAAGACAATGGAATCACAAATTTAGAGAAGCATTACAAAAAATTGAACTTCAATCAAAGCCAATATGATCATTCCTTGTTTACAAAGAAGAATTCTGAAGGGACTACAATAATTTTGGTACATGTTAATGACATTTTGATTATAGGAAGTAGCCTAAGCTAGTAGAAGAAAAAAAAAAGAGCCCTACAACAAATTTTCAAGATGAAGGATTTAGGTGAATTGAACTATTTTCTTGGAATAAAGTTTCCAAGGTCTAAGGCT